CCAGCATGACTAAGCCACATCTGGTGAACCAGAGCAGTGCACGGAAACGCCGTTTACCTTCCCGCCGGAGTGGTACCTATTTATCTACTTGAACTTTGACATACTTTCGAACTGCTAGGTTGGCAGGAGCAGGGACCGAGCAACGGGAGCTCACCCCGTCGCGGGGATTCAAACCGCCGACCTTCTGATCTGCAAGTCCTAGGCTCTGTGGTTTAGTTCTTTGAACTAAAGTGTCCCAAACGCTGCAATCTTTCCCCCTAGGGGCAGGAGCATGCATCCTGTTTCGCTACTTGAGGAGAAACAGGAAGCCCCCACTCCGCCAAGCTGTGACACCCGCCACACTGCCTCCACGGCAGGTGAAGTTGAGGTAGCATCAGCGGCAATGCTGGTGCCACTTCTCAGCTGGCAGTGGGGCAGAGCGTCCACCTGGGGCAGCAGTTTCACCCTTCCTATTGGTTGGGCTTGACCTACACAGAGGACAAAAGAGGGACCAATGGGCTGTATTAAACCAACCCCCCATGTTTAGTTGCTATGCTCTCCTGCATCCAAATCCCTCCAACACAGTGGATCAGAGGGCGAGAATGCTCTGTACAGCCACCTTGGCTGATCTTCAACTCCACAGCCTTAGATATCGAGATGGACAAGTGTTCTTCATTCAGATTAATCTCTGGGATGGCGGGTATCAATTTAGACATAAGTTTGTAACCATCTCCAGAGCCAATAAAGGTCGATGGACTTTGAAGAGGGGTGTTCACTGACACCACACATCAAAGAGGAAGGAAGCTATAAATCCACCAGGAACGAAAGTTCTCAGCACCTCCTTGTCAGAAAAATATTGACAAATGGGAGGGCGTCCAGAGAAGAATGGGGGGAAATTGATTCAGAGCTACAGAGATTAATAAAGTTCGATGAGCCTGGCTTGGAGACAAGATAGCCAAGCAGGAACATGGGAAGAGAGGTGACCAATATTTCAAATGTTTTAATGACAAGTGAAGATGTAGAGGACAAAATGTGGAGCAGCGGAAGAACATGTGAAGGACAAAGGGAGAAGCTGCAGTGAGACAACTGTGTGGTCTAAAAAGCGTGTCTGGATTGTGCCATTTCAGACTGGATAGGGAGGTGCGAGCTTAAATCCTCCCCCGAGAAAATAAAATCCCTACACATAGAAAGGTGGTGTTTCAGGGACCCTTGCTAAATCTAACTTTCTATGTGTGAGGAGTATTGGAAAGCATTCAATCTTGAGCTTATTCTACCTGCAAGTGGTACAACCCAGAACAGATTTTTAATAATTGTGGTTTATTAATTCAGCACAGTGACTTCCAGCCAAGAAAGGTTAGCAGTCCCACTGAAGGCTAGGGGTTATTTATCTGTATTTCATTGTTCTTCTGTGGAACGCCATGTAGCCTACACAGAGGCAGAGGGGTTGCAGCAGTCTCCCATCCTGACACTGACCAGATCTAAAACTTTACTGCTTCGTTGAGGTTACTGCATCATGTGACTTCAGATCCAGCTATAGTTGCAGTCTACCTCAAAACACCAGAGGGTGGAGGCAGGCAGCAGAGAAAAAGTATCACATCGTCCCATGCTTGTGAACTTTCCAAAAGCATCGCAGTGATGTGTTTTTGGAAACCAAATGCTGGACTAGATGAACCATACTGTGAACCAGCAAGGCAGTCCTTTGAACTACATAAGGCAAAAAAAAATCCCTTTAGTGCTGTATTTTTGATCTGGCAGTGCTCTCTGGCTCCCATTTCTCTCTCTCTCTCTTTAAAAAAAAGAAGAAGCAAAGATCTGAAGATAAGCAGTCTGCTGGCTTACATTTCTGGGTGGACAGCACTTTTCTTAGCAAGGAGGTTTTCTGGGCTGGGGAAGGGGAAGATAACCCACAAAGTTAATACATAGTTGTGCTCTTTGAACAACACGCAACTGCTCGGCAGAATGTGCTTCTCTTGAATAATGCTGCTGCAATTCTGCCTGTGCTGCCATTTCCTGAAGGCAGCTGGCTCTGATTCACAATCTAGGTTATAGCAACCTGATCCAAGGAACGATTTATTTCCATAAACTCATAGAGGAATCCAGCACATCATGTACAGAACCCCCTGGGAGCACATTCGAGAGGCCGTTCTGATCTAGAATTGCAGCAACCTGCAATAAATTGAAATGCTCAAAAGTTCCTTGTGCCGGATCCAAGAGACCTTCCACAGACCAACATAGCAAGCGGACTATTTCTCTTATGGTTTCTGCTCTGTGCTTGAGGGCAGATCATTTTATTAGGATATACAGTGGTACCTCGCAAGACGAAAAACTCGCAAGACGAAAGAGTTTTTCATTTTTTGAGTTGCTTCGCAAGACGAATTTCCCTATGGGCTTGCTTCGCAAGATGAAAAACGAAAACGTCTTGCAAGTTTGTTTCCTTTTTCTTAAAACCGTTAATATCCAGGGTGCATTGCTTGAAGAGGTGCAGTTGTGGCTTGACTTCGAGGAGCAACTCATAGCATGCGGTGTGGTAGCCTTTTTTGAGGTTTTTGAAGACTTTGGTGATTTGAAGACAGTGGTGCTTCGCAAGACGAAAAATTCGCAAGATGAAAAAACTCGCAGAACGAATTAATTTTGTCTTGCGAAGCACCACTGTATTGGGTGGAGGGGAGCTGGATTTCTATAGTAGCAGTCTTCGGATTTTACTCCAGTTATTTCACGGGCAATCCTGATCTGCTCAGCATGGCCAAGCACCTGGTTCAAAGCCTGCCATCCCCATTTGACCTTTCTATACATTTGGGAATCAGAATAGCACTGCACCAGATTCGGCCAAAGCTTGAATTATAGAAGCCATCCCAGGGGAAACCACTCTTCAGCACTCAATCGGAGCAAACATGAGAGCCAGCGTGGTGTAGTGGTTTAGAGCGGTGGACTCGTAATCTGGGGAACCGGGTTCGCGTCTCCGCTCCTCCACATGCAGCTGCTGGGTGACCTTGGGCTAGTCACACTTCTCTGAAGTCTCTCAGCCTCACTCACCTCACAGAGTGTTTGTTGTGGGGGAGGAAGGGAAAAGGAGATTGTTAGCCGCTTTGAGACTCCTTAGGGTAGTGATAAAGTGGGATATCAAATCCAAGCTCTTCAAAGGGCAATTTGGGTTTTCTCCAGATTGATGTTTGCCCCAATTTAGCACTAAAGAGCAGGTTTGCCCTGGGAAGGGAGCGGGACAAGGGCACAGGCGCCAGGTTGCCCCACCGATTGGGATGACTGGCACGCGCCACACACATGTGAACTCATACGCATGCAGTGTGACATCATGCATGTCTCCCGGCACCGTGCAGGCCAGTGCAGGCTTCCACGAGGCTGCACCGGTCCCCACAGCATCAGGACACACTGCGCAGGCCGGTGCAACCTTGTGCCAGGCGCACCAGTCCCCACAGAATCTGCCAACACCGTCCAGGCCAGTGCAGCCTTCCAGTAGCTGTGTTGAGGCCTGGGGAAGAGGGGGCACAGTCGCAGGATGGCCACAGGCCACAGAAGATTGAGGGGGCCTGACCCACTCTTTAATTTTTTGGGGGGCCCTCAGCCTCTTGGACACCCCTAGATAGCACCCCTGGGCAAGGGGGAAACTGCTCAGACCTATGTCTAGAAAGGGCAGGCCAAGTGGAAAACCACTCACTCAGGATTTCTAGGCAGGAAGAAGTGAGGACAAACCCTGAGAGAGAGAAACTCAGATCACATCCGCACGATCCATTTAAAGCAGTAATCATTTTCCCCAAAGAATCCTGAGATCTGCAGTTTGTTGAGGGTGCTGAGAGTTGTTTGGAAACCCCTCTTCCCCTTCACGGAGCTACAATTCCCAGAGTGGTTAAACAATCCGTGCCTCCCACCTTATTCTTGCAATATTCAGTTGCTTTACTGTGTTTTTATACTGTGTTTTAATATTAATGGTGTTTTAAATTGCTGCAACCCACCCTTAGGGTGAAGGGTAGGTAATAAATCATCTCTTCTAATGCCAGGGACCCTGAATCATTAACAACTGGGTATAAATGGATTCCAAAAACCATATCCATTATTGCATACATTTCAGAATGAATGAACTGGGCCAAACGGGAGTCCTTTCAGTTCTGTTTTTCCATTTACCCCAAAATGAATTCACACTGGTACCTTTTGCATATGCTAAACAGCACCACAGCCCCGACAAAGCTTAGCATTGTTCAGTCCAACCGGTGACAATAAGAGAGCTTTTCATGCGCTCCGTTCCCTTCCATAGAAAAACAATGGGGTTTAAAAAGCGCATGCCTTTGGCTGGATGGTCCCCAAGGCAAATAAACAACTGAGCTACACACCCCAGATTATCCTTATGTCATTAATGTTATTATTCAATGCAAGCAATTGGCAGGGTATAGCATTTTCCTTCTCTTATTTCACTCTAATCCAAAAATCGCTGAAATGAAAAAGGAGGGGGAAAGAAAAAGAAAGTTCTATTTTGTGGTGCTGAAATATGACAACCGCCCAGATTTTTTAGGCGAAAAAATTCTAAAAACAGCTTTCCCATGCTTAAGATTATGGGTGTGGGGCTTTTGGAATGAGCAACTTACAAAGATGATCACAGGCTAGCCACACATTTTAAATAATTCAAGTCAGAGGAGGATTTCTTATGTGGTTTCCACAGCCCACCGCTCCCCTAAACTTCAGGGATGCCAGAGCAAATCTTGAAGAAAAGTGCTCATTCAAACTCTAGGAACATTTCAACACAAGCTACCAGCTGCATCAAGGATATGCAGCCGAATCCTATGCAAGGTTACTTGGAAAGAAATCACACTCTATCCAATGGGGCTTACACTTAGGTAAATGGGTGTAGGGTTAGGGAAGATATTTTGTGGGAGGCTCAGCTCCCACGGCCCTGCATACATGGCGCCCCTGGTAGGTTGTGGATGGATAACTTCTTTAGTCTGAATGATTGAGGCCAGCCACACCAACAGCCAAGAGGCAGTGACTGGTCCAAGGTCACCCAGTGAGTGTGATGGCCAAGGGGGGATTCGAACCCCGATCTCTCAGGTCCTAGCCCAGCACTCTAACCACGGAAAATACAGCAGTTATTGTTAGGATATAGTTCCATTCCACCTTTAGAACAGATGTGTGGATTGTTGTATGTCACATGTCTGTTTACATTCCAGCACAGTCTGCTGGGAACTTCTGTTGTATATTGCTTTTGCTTTGCTGCTGTTTGGAGTTTGGAGGACAAGCTGTTTACAAGTTGTGATGGTATAAACACCACACTCCGCCCAAAAAACTAATTTCAAATCATGGGGTGGGGTGTACAAAAGGCAGTGCTACATTTGTACTACAGGAGCATCTGGCCATTATTCTCTGCAATATTCAGGGGCAGCATAGCCTAATGGTTAGAGCAGCCTTTCTCAACCCAGATGTTGTTGGGCTGCAACTCCCATCACCCCTGACTGCTGGTCCTTCTCACTAGGGATGATGGGAGTTGAAGTCTAACAACATCTGGGGACCCAAGGTTGAGAAAGGTTGTGTTGAAATACACATTTTTTAAAAAAAACCAGAAGCATTTTTACTTGGAATTATAGGTCAGGACATTAACAGGCAAGATGTTAAATTGTTTTTATATGCAACAACTGCGGCAAGAGTATTGTTAGCCCAGAAATGGAAACAAGAAGAAATTCCGACGAAAGAGGAATGGCGGATGAAATTAACGGACTATGCAGAATTGGACAAAATGACAGAAAGGATTCGAAACCTGCGGAACCAGAGATTTGCAGAAGATTGGAAGAAGTATATGAATTATTTGAAGAGCAACTGTAATCAACAAATTACGCTAGTAGGACTACAAGAAGTTTTGTAAGGAGAAATATACGAAGTGTCACAAAGTAGAAAAAGATAGAGATATTGGTTATGAGTTTGAAATGTAATAGGGAAGATAAGAAATGCATACTAAGAGATTAGATTGGAAAATTTTCAGACAGGATTGATGGAAGTCAAAAAAATTGAATAAGATGTAAAAGTATGTTTAATTACTGTTGAAAAAGATATGTTAAAAAACTAATTCAAAAAAATTAATTAAAAAAAATCTCCCTCAAAGGGTTGTTGTAGGGATAAAATGGGGGGGACGGGACTTGTATGCCACATCCTGGGCTCCATGGAGGAACAGCACACAGCCCTGCTTGGATTCTGTCTCCTGGATGACACACTATTAGGAAAACCTCACTATTGTGAGGCGATGCCCTTTGGGTCTATTCAGTTCAGAAGTAGGTGTGGATTTAATTGAAAGTGGCTGCAGAACAATGCTAACCATGAGAAACGTTGGGCGAGGATTATTGGAGATGTCGAAATGTATGTGACGATGCTCTACTCAGATCTTTGCAAATAAATTTTTGCAAAGCAGGGGTGGGAAGGGAAGCAGCCCGTGTCTTCTAGCAAATAAAGAAAACAAAGATTGTCCCTTTGGAAGGCAGCCCCTGCTCGTAATGAAATCATGCGATGGGGGGGAGGCGAGTACAGTCCTGCAGATGTGCTCCATGTTATAAACAAACGAATGGGGTGCCTTGGGAGCATGCATTCTAATGTCTGAAACAGACAGCTCTTCCATTCCATCTACAAGCAAGATGTATAGGAGTTAAGACCAGTAAGCAACAAATCCCTTTATTTCCCAGTGGTTCTAGTCACCCCCACCCCCACCCTACGATGCCAGGGCCCCTTAAACCCACTTTGTTAACCTTAGCTCTCTATTCTAAGGCAGAGGGGGGGGAGGGGAATATCCAGAACATCAGGAGGAAAGAAAAACTTGCCCTCAGGGAAAAGAACAATTGTTGTTTTGCAAACTCTTTCTGCAGCTGTTTCAGTTTAGGGTCTCTTGTCCGAAGGCAGAGTAAAGATGATCGATGCCTTGTCACATTCAGGAAAGCCTTGTTGCTGCAAATGTTATGCCTGCACAATATCAGCCTAGGAGGCGGCAATGTCCCTCCCAGCCCCCCCCCCCCTCTTCCCTAGACACACACGCATTAGAATTTTGTGATTCCAGCCAGGAACCCAACCAGATTGCACCAACAGTCCAAGCCATTGCTCATATTTGAGGGGATCGCATTAATATGTGGTGTTCTGAATGCAAGGCAATGCCAGCATAGGTCCAAGGGCTGGAAAGCAAAGCGATCCAGAGATGAGCAAATCTCTAAATTACTGTTTCTCCCTGTTTTTTTAAAAAAAATTCCATTCATTCAGTTCACTTCTCCCCATTTCCACATTATTGTTGCTGTTGCCACCCCAAATTCCAAGCAGCGCAAGATTCCAGGGAACCCAAGCATTCATATTTCCTTTTGGAAGGAGGCACCCTGGAGACTGGTTTCTTTTATGAGATATACTTTATTTACACATAGATGCAGCCTGAGCCTAACTTGAAGGAGTTCACAGCACTAGCACCCAAAGAAAGCCTTGCTTCCCCCATAGTTGCAGCCTTGGTTTCAAATAGAAATCAAACACTGATTTGTCTCGTTGAAGGAGGGGCATTCAGCCTATTCCCCCCAAAAACTTCATAACATTATTATTATTATTATTATTATCCCACACGTTTTCCCCTAACGGACTCAAGGTGGCCTAGGATCCACGTACCTACGGGACCGCCTCTCCTGGTATGCTCCATGGAGGACCTTGCGGTCCACAAATGACAACATTTTGGAGGTCCCAAGTCGCAAGGTGGTTAGATTGGTCTCAACTACGGCCAGGGCCTTTTCAGTATTGGCCCCGACTTGGTGGAACACTCTGTCACAAGAGACTAGGGCCATTTCCGCAGGGCCTGCAAGACAGAACTGTTCTGCCTGGCCTTTGGTTTGGACTCAGTCTGACCCTTATGTTTTTCCCCTCCCCTTACGGTTTTGATCTATGGGCTACTTTTAAAATGAGGCTGCATTTTAAACTGCATTTTAAACTGTATTTTAAATTGGTCCCACCCCCATTATGTTTTTGTTGTAATTTTACTGGTGTTAGCCGCCCTGAGCCCAGCTCTGGCGGGGTATAAATATTATTATTATTATTATTATTATTATTATTATTATTATTATTATTATTCTCTTTTCACTAATATTTGCATCCTTACACACACTTCACCCTAGGTACATGTATTTTTGTGCATGTTACTCGTCTTGAGAACTGCATTGCAAAATTCAGAGAAATGAAGATTTCAAAAGATGGCTGTGATTGAGTTTGTAAGCCTTTCCTCAGACATGAAAATCAACCAGTTCATGGACACAAACACATCACTGTAATATGTCTGAGTGCAATGCTGAAGAATAACGATCTCAAGACTCTTCTCCACCCTCACCCTCACCCCCTGCGAAAAGAAAAACAACCTTAAGTTTCATATCTGTAACAAAGATCATCCAAGCCTGTGCCTCAGTCTAATTTCCTGGATATTCCTTTTCCAGCTCCTCATTTCTAATTCTATGGACATCTTCCATTTCACTGTAAAGCAATATATGTACGAAATATGCTTGGGAATCCAGCAAGGGACACCCACAGGCCCTATAATCTTGGAGACTTCCTACCATAATCAAGCAGCTGGAAATCTAAAGTATTTTATGTACCTTTTCAGAGTCTCCCTCATTTCCCCCCAGTAAGCTAATAACAATTTGAAACAGATGATTAAATTTTGTTCAGCAAGGCAAGGGAGGAAGGCTCATCTAGACATTTAAACCAAACCAATTTTGATTTTGAAACATTTTATCTCTGTGGGTTTTTAAGAATTATAACACACTTCTCCTATATACGAAGGGTCAAGCTAGGTATTTCAGAGCTGTTACTCACATGTCTTCCACATTCATAAAATGTGGGGAAGAAGGGTGCTGGATCACTCTTTACCTCCCCATCACTCTTTACCTCCCCATAGCCCAACCATTTTACTCTCTTACTGGTTCTAATGGAAAAGTGAGCTGGTTAAGTTGGGTGCTGCATAAAGGTAAAGGTACCCCCTGACCATTAGGTCCAGTCGTGGACAACTCTGGGGTTGCGGTGCTCATCTCGCTCTATAGGCCAAGGGAGCCAGTGTTTTTCTACAGACAGTTTTTCCGGGTCATGTGGCCAGCATGACTAAGCCGCTTCTGGCGAACCAGGGCAGCACACAGAAACGCCATTTCCCTTCCCGCCGGAGTGGTACCTATTTATCTACTTGCACTTGACATGCTTTCAAACTGCTAGGTTGGCAGGAGCAGGGACCAAACAACGGGAGCTCACCCCGTCGCAGGGATTCGAACCACCGACCTTCTGATCGGCAAGCCCTAGGCTCAGTGGTTTAGACCACAGCGCCACCCGCGTCCCGGGGTGCCGCATACACATCACTAAATAACGGAAGACAATAAGGAGTATAGATTTGCATAAAATTTGCACATCCTAATTTGGAAATTATGGCTACAATTTTGCTGGTAGCACCTGCATTGCACAATGCCCTCCCTGCTGAGATACGAGTGGCCCCATCAGCATTGGCTTTCCGCGGGCTCTTGAAGGCACACCTGTTTAGGCAAGCATTCCCCAGAACTCGAACATCTCACCTCATCGTTTTAACTGTCATGTTCTTAACTGCCTTGTTTAATTGCACATTTTACTTAAGTATGTTTTAACTCACTGATGGAGTCACGATTCTGCGTTTTCATTATATACGGATTTAATAATTGGTTTCATAGCTGTAAACCACTTAGAAGCTGTTCTGTCTAGTTTTAGGTGCCAGGCAATAGCAACTGGAGAGCTTCATAGAATCTAAGTATTGGAAAGGAAAATGGGGGGGGGTCATTTAGTCCAAGCCCACTGCTCAATGCAAGTTCTGCATCTATAGCACTCAAAGAACTTTCCCTAAATTCTCAGAAAAAATATTATTAAACGGACCATAAGGGCAGTGGCTACTAAAAATGACTTAAACTCCATGTACCTATCCACATGTGCCCCATTATATTTTAAACTTAGAGAGGCCCATGAACATATGTTTTACTTCAATGAATTGACTTTTGTACAACTCCGGAAATTGTTCTGTATGGGACAATGACAATAAAGGTATCGTATCGCAGAAAGCTTTTACAGAGTTATGATTAAAT